GAAAATATTTATAAAAAAAATATTTCTCCAATAATAAAAACATAAACTAAAAAATAGACATATAATTTTTTAATATTTATAATTAAATTAATTAATATAATATTATTTTAATAATGATTAAAATTATGTTATACATGTTTAATTAATTAAAATAATAAGAACTCTTTTAACTAATAAATATTAATTTAATTTGTTATAAAAGTATCTAAAACAAGTATCTCACAGTCATAAAAAGTATGATTGAAGAAGAAAAGAATAAATTCATTTTAAAAAAAAAATAAAGACTTGAGTTATTATAATAACAATGAAATTTATACCTATTATTATTCATGATAGTCAAACATTTATACACAAAATTAATAAAAAGATATTAATGAATAAAATAGATAAGTTTATTAATTGTCCATGTATATATAAATTAAATCATAATATCTATAAAAAAAATTGAAATGAAAGAATAAAATCAATTAGTCAATGATAATATTTTATATAAAAATAAATGTACTTAAATTATTTCATCATCATTCCTAATTTGTTGCCTTTGAGTGGGAAACCAAAATGAGCAATAAACAGGAGTTACATTGGTAATGGAGCATTTGTGAATTGTGAAGTTAAAGCAAAACTGAACCCCACCAAAATCATTCCTATGTAGGTCTTACCATAGAATTCTATATATATTATTATTATAATAAAAATGAAGCATCAAGAAAGGGATATATGCATGTAACTCACATGACATATCTGCCCTTTTTCTGCACCTAGTCTTCACCTTGTGACACAATTAAATACCCCCTTACCATGAGAGCGTCCCTTCAAAATTGAAAATATTTTTCTCTGATTAATTCCACCTTTGCGTGGAATCAACATTACATAAACATATACATAGGACAGCTGAGATTGTGTGAACTAACACACTTTCACACACACATAATTTCTCTCTCTTCTTACTTTCTCTCTAAATTTTACATGCACAAAATTTTGTGTCTGTCCCCCTAGACATTTATTGCTTGCTTAGACTAATCAAACAAGTTTCATTTTTTGTAACCAAAATTCTCTCTTCTGGGGTTGGCAAAGTCAACAACATGCATGAGTAGAGGAGAGAGAAGGGGTGATTGATTGTTTGAGTTCCAAAAATATTTTCTTTTTGCTGAATTGAATTCTGGGTTGGTGCTTGGTTTGGAGATTGAGTAGAGGAGAGAGAAGGGGTGTTATGAACAGATGAAGAACGAAGAGCAGAATCGTAGCTTGTTTGGAATTTCACTCTCTGACAGACCCAGATGGCAGCAATTCCTCATTTGCTCATCAGGGTTTTTCTTTGGATATCTTGTCAACGGAATCTGTGAGGTGAATTAAATGTTATGTCATATATGTGCTCTGTTTTCTCTTGAGTTTCTTGAATTCTTTAGTGTTATCTTTGTGGTTTTCAGTTTCTGCTACTGGGTTGCAGAAACATGGGGTGTGTATGAGAAGGAGGATAAAACAAACTTGAGTTTTGATTTTTTGGTTTGTAAGAGTGTGTGTGTTAAAATGGGTTTTGTTTTGTTTGATTTTTGTAAAATTTTCCTTTTGAAATTTTCTTTTCTTTCATAATCAATAACCTAAAGATTAAATTTTAAGGAAAATGGTTTCTCAAAAGTCCAAGATTTGTCTGCCTTTTGTTATTCTTTCTGGATGTCTTGTTGGGGACTTTGGCTTCAATTTTTCTTACTTGCTGTCTTTTTTATTTTGTATCTTAATACTAATTTTTATTCTCATTGACTTGATTTTCAGGAATATGTGTATAACAGGCTCCATTTCAGGTGAATTTCATAACCTTGGTACTACTATTTCATTCATTACTATTTTGCATCTTTGAATGGGGACTAACAGAAAATTTTGGTTTGTTTTTCTTGTTTCAGCTATGGTTGGTACTTCACATTTGTTCAAGGATTTGTGTACCTGTTTCTGATTTACCTCCAAGGCTTCACAAGCAAGCAAATGGTGAATCCATGGAAAACTTACGTGAAGCTTTCTGCTGTGCTTATGGGTTCCCATGGCCTGACAAAGGGGTCTTTGGCTTTTCTCAACTATCCTGCACAAATCATGTTCAAATCCACAAAGGTAATTAAGTGACAAAAGCACATGGAAAAAAGCCAATCATATCATTACTTTACCCATTTTTGAAGGAATCATGTTTGTACATCTTGAATGCATTTTATCTTATTATTCCTAAATTATAAAGGGAATATCAAATTGGCTCATTTATATGCAAGCATCTTTGTTGAATTAAAGGCACTTATAGTTCAATGGCTCCAAATTCTATCTTGGTTTTTTGCCCCCTAAAAGTGTGTGTCCACCATGTTGTAGTTGTAGCTAACTTAACTTACCATTGAACATTTCAATATAACAACAATTTTTTGTGTAATAGGTTCTGCCAGTGATGATAATGGGTGCCTTCATACCTGGGCTTAGAAGGAAGTATCCACTGCATGAATACTTATCTGCAATACTTCTTGTAGTTGGCTTGATCCTGTTCACACTAGCAGATGCACAGACATCACCAAATTTCAGTGTCATTGGTGTTGTTATGATATCTGGAGCATTGGTCATGGATTCTTTTCTGGGAAATCTGCAAGAAGCGATATTTACCATGAACCCTGAAACCACTCAGGTAATTTTCATCTCTTCCTAACCCTCTTTGCGCCTTTTAAGGTCTATAACTTGTTATGTCAAATATGTGGAATTTATCCCTTATCACTATTGAATAACTTTTATAAAAGTTGAAGAGTGTAAATTGGTTTTAACTTTGAGAGAAGTTTAATTTTTTTTCTTTTCTTTTCTTTTCCCATAAAAGTTTTTGAGAAATTTATCCAAACAGTCTTAAACCATTATATATTAGTACCATGTAAATTTCTAGTACTTTCCCATATTTTAGTAGCATGTAAATACTTTTTCAATATATTAGTAGCATGTAAATTTCCAATACTTTTTCATTGTTAACACAGATGGAGATGCTCTTTTGCTCAACTGTAGTGGGTTTGCCTTTCTTAATCCCACCCATGCTTTTCACAGGAGAATTATTCAAAGCATGGACTTCATGTTCACAGGTAAATTTGGAATAAACATAGTCCCTTTTCCACACTCTTATTATATTATGCTTTCTCCTAATCATAATCACCTTTTTCCTTGTCCGTGCAGCATCCGTATGTTTATGGGGTGTTAGTCTTTGAAGCAATGGCCACATTTATAGGCCAAGTTTCTGTCCTCTCCCTCATTGCGCTCTTTGGTGCTGCTACCACAGCCATGGTAAATTGCTGTCACATGATTTTCCTGCTTTTATTACCATGTCAGTGTGGACCATTTTACAGCCCCTACATTTAATAAGTCTCATGAATAAACAAGCACCATCAGCTCTTACTCTTAAATGCTATTAAATGACCAAACTCTTGATTTTTTTATATCAAAAGTTTGAATTTGAATGGAACATTGATTTAGCATTATACTATGTGGGATGATATAAAAGTCAAAACTCAACCACATTGGATTAAATGGTCATGCAGTATAAAATTTTTTACATTGTCAATGACAATTATAAACTTTAACTTAACTAATCAGAAATCGCGGTTGGTATGACTTGGATGACAAGTGCATAGCATAGTTACCAATAGTTCAACACTATTATTGAAGTCAATAATTCATTGGTCGCATAAATATACAAAAATGAATATTAAAAAAATCACGTGCATGCATATATGGGTTCCTAACTTACCTTGATTGAATTTGATCACAGATAACAACAGCAAGAAAGGCAGTGACACTGCTATTGTCATATTTGATATTTACAAAACCATTAACAGAACAGCATGGCAGTGGACTTATACTCATAGCTATGGGGATCACATTGAAGATGCTGCCTGAAAACAAAGTCACCAGCATCAAGAGGGTCTTAAACTCTTCTTCAAGGGGCAATAGTGTAAAATCCACAGTTGATGAAGAGATGGGGACACCCACAAATTCTGTAGGGGAAGATGATGAAAGGAGGCCCTTAGTCTAGCTTAAAATGTTCCAAATGCAATTTTTATTTCTGAAGTCATTATTTTAAAATTCTTAATTTCTTTGCCATTTTCATGTCATGTGAAAGGAAAAAAGAAAATAATTTGATGTCCAGTTAGTATTTTATATTATTTTTTTTAATGGAAGGCCTCATATTTAAATTCATTTACAGTAAAAGGGGTTTTATTGTTTTTATTTTTTTCACTCTTGCGATTCAACTAAAATTTAATGATACTGGACTTATTTTCAACACATTTTTCATTGAGTGAAATTTAACATAATTAACTCTATATGACTAAACATAATAAAAAAAATGTCAATAAACAAAAAATAAGTTTTATTTTTGGTTTGTTTCTTGATTTTTTTTAAGTTAAGTTTTTAGTAATTTAAATCAGTCAAATCATGACGTGTTTTATACGAAAGCCATAGATTATAATATTTGTGTAAGTAAAAGATCACTTTAATCAAGAGCAGTCTCGTATATATGCACAAATTTTAATGTTTAATTTGTGAGATTTATGATGGGATATTATTATCTAAGGTTCGTTCCGTGAAATGTTTCATTATATTTTAGAAAATAACATATTCGAAAATAATATTTCTGAAAAAAAAATTTGTTTATACTCAATATTCAATATCTTATACAATTTAAAGATTTATTTTTAATTGAGATCAAATATTTTAATAAAATATAAAATTTCTTTCTTTTCTTCTCTTATCAATTATTTATTGTTAGTATCAATTATATTAATTTTAGATATAAACCCTACTCAAAATACATTTTGGTAAATGTATTTATATTTTCTTAAAAACTTGACATAGTTGACTTTAATTTGTAATTTTTAATGAATTTAGATTTGTAATGAAAATTAAAATTTGGAACAAAATATTTGTTATGGATTTAACTTTTTATTCAACAGTCTTTGTATCTTCAATTAGTTATTAGAGAAATTTATGGAATAATTTGAGACCCTATTTTTATTGTAAATAATAAAATTCATTTATTTACTAATTGAAAATATTCCTCGTAAAAACAAGAAAAGAATAAAATATCTATCTAATTCAATTTTAATAGTGAATTTCTTCAAGTTTAACATTATAATTATTCTTGAACTGTTTGAAAATTTCAATTAGGTATCTAGAATTAAAAAAGAAAAAAAAATTATAATTAAGTGTTACATCTTTTTTAATTTAGTTTATAATTTTTTTTTACAATCTGATAAATTTTATAAAATATTTTTTATATCCTTATAAAAAAAATATTTTTGTAAAAAATTTCACGTCCTTCCAACTACATAAATATAAAGGATGTTTTGAAAAGTTCCGCATTGAAAATAAATTTTTAACTCTAAAAACTAAATTAAAAATTTCCAAAATATTCGCCAATGAATTAAACCTTATAATTAACAAAGCTATTATATCCCAATAACAAGTGTGTTATGCAACTTTTGTTAGTTTGCATGCATAAGAAGAGAAGTATTCTAGACTCTGTTGAGACCAAACGGTGGCCATGTGTTGATGAATCATCATGGAAACGTGTCAATGAGTTACCCTCAAACACCATTAAAGAACTTCACTCATTGGCTACGTGTTGGTGCAATGGCATGCATAGTGACACCAATTACACTTTTCTGAGCTCAAAGAATATATCACTGTCAAAACTGAAAAGTGAAAAAAAAAAAAAAAGAATAGAATAGAATTCATCACTATACACCACAAAGTTCCAAAAATAAAAATTAAAAAATAAGCCTTAGTGTTAATGGGTGATAGCTGTAAGAGAGGTGGCAGCAGTGGTGGCACCACCACCAGGCTCCTCCGGGAAGCGGCGGAGGACGGTGGTGATTCGGAATGGAAGAGTGAGAGGCCAAGAGAGCCTTGGAAAGGGGAATATGTGAAGAGCATAGTGTTTGGAGGGCTTGATGCCATTATCACTTGTTTTGCTCTCATTTCTTCCATCAATGCTAGCACTAGGTCATCTGGTATGTATATGTCATTCCCTTTTTAATTTTAGGATTGATTTGGATAAATTTTCCCTAAATATCTTTAAGTAGAAAGGAAAAATCAGATAAAATTAGCCTATTTATAATTTAAAAGTAAATTTATAGAGAAACTAATGTAAGAAAATGAGAAATTCTGAAAATAAGCTTATATACAAATTGGTTTTAATTTATAAAGAAAGTTATTTTTATTTTATGTCGTAGAAGTGATTTTAGATAATGTGTTTTAGGTCTTATTTGGTTAAAATTAGTTTTAGATACTACATTTAAAAAAAAATGGTGATTTTAGTTTTATTTAAGAATTGATCAAGTAAATGCGTTTGTATTAAGATATAATTTTATGGTATGAGAATTGAAACATACATTGGAAGTGTGAGATTCTGGTGTGGAGTTTATAAAACATTATTGCTAATTTTTGTGGTTTGGTTCTTCCAAAGTTTCTATCAATTGGTACAAGTGGAATCTTTTGATCCAATCCTAATATATAGGACTAGAATCTCACATTGAAAGAATGGGATTCTATTGTGGGGGGTATATAAGGCTTTAGATTCTCCAATTAATAGTTTGTGGCTAAGGTTCTTATGTATGTATGTCCAAATACTGATACTGATTCTCATGTCATTGATGCAAAGGTAGAATAGCTTTGTGTATCGAAGTGTAAATGATATTAGAAGTGATGTGGTACACATTGAATGTAGTGGATGTGCTGGTTCTTGGGTTCTCAAACCTAGTGGCAGATGCAATATCAATGGGGTTTGGGGACTTTGTGTCTGCTAGCTCTGAGCAGGATGTGATCATTGAGGAAAGGAGAGTGACAGAATGGGATGTCATGAACCAAAGGGACAAGGAGCAAACAGAGTTGGTTAAATACTATCAAGCTCTTGGGATGGACTACAATGATGCAACCATGGTATGTATGAAAAAAAAAAAAAAAAAGTGCTTACCATTTGGAATATAATGATATTAGAGTTCAATAGGTTTGTACTTCCGGCTAAAAGAAAAAAATATTTTGTCTACAAACCAAAAATCATCTTTGGTATGATTATTAAGTTAGTTATTATAAAGTCAACATACATGGTAATTTGGAATAAAAGATTTTTACATTGTTGGTGTATATGCTATTTATTCGTATAATTATCAAGAATAATTTGCGATGAAAGATTTTTACATTTTGTATATACTATTTGTTCATATAATTATCGAGAAAAACCATGGTTGACCCAAGGATAAGTGAGACTAAGAAACAAAATTAGAGAGAAATTACTTTGCTTTTAAATTAGAGAACTATATGTTAGATCTTTTACAGAAACAAAAATAGAGAGAAATTATTTTGCTTTAAATGAGAGAACTATATGTTAGATCTTTTTATTAACTTCTTTTGTCGCTTTTTTGTTTATATAAAAAAAAAAACTATTGTTCTTGAGATTAAAGCTTGAGTTTTAAGGTTTGTTATAGGAAAGAAAATTAAAATAAGTTCCTAGATAAACTAAGACTAGTCTATTTTTAGTTTATCTATGAGTAAAAAAAAGATTTTGAAGAAGTTAATAAAAATGATTTTCTACAAATTAACTTATGCATAAATTAATTTTAGTTTATAGAGAATTATTTTATTTTTCTTTCTTATTTTTTCTCCTAAAAATATTTTTGAAGAATTTTATCCAAATGTATCCTTAGTAGCCTTACATTGGCAAGCCTTGGGAGAAATTTGTAGCAAAAGTTCACTAGGGTCAACACTATTTTATTTGAACATTCATTTATTTGGCCTTTCATAGCCAAATTGCTTCCAAGTTCTTAGCTTAATTAAGTGAATTTCGTTACATGGTGCAAGGTTGTGAACATATTCACAAAGTACAATGACATCCTGGTGGACCAGAGAATGGTAGCAGACAAGGGAATGCTGCCATCAGACCAAGAGGTGAAGCCATGGAAGAATGGCCTGGTCACCTTTGCATCCTTCATGCTCTTTGGCTCAACTCCCTTGCTCTCTTTCATCATCCTCATACCCTTCACTGACAGTGAAACTGTCAAGTTTATCAGTGCTTGCCTTGTTTCTGCACTTGCTCTTGCTCTCCTTGGGATGGCTAAGGCAAGGATAGCTAGCCAAAACATCATGTTCTCTGTGGCTCTCACACTCTGCAGTGGTGCCATAGCTGGACTTGCTGCTTATTTAGTAGGGTGGTTGCTTAAGCATGTGGCAGGACTAGAGGGTTGATAAGCCAGACTTGAATTTAAAGACTGTTTCCATATAAATTTATGAAATATAAGTTTAGAAGAACTTGTTTACATACTGAAATAAAGTGTTTTTTTCTGATAGAGAAATTCTCAAAAAGTTTTTCTAATCTTGGACTAATCTTATATCCAAACATGTCCTTAGTAAATCTCTGAAGAGTTTGTGTAAATGTAGTAGGTCAAACTGGCCCTAGTCCAAAGCCAAAGTTCTGCTATGTCTATTATTTGTTTTTTGGGTAGCTTATAGATGCAGTTGAACTTGGCATTTGTTCATAGTTGTTGCTAATTAAGATCCTACTCATGGTTAGGCAATGTTTTAGTTGAATTTATGTATTTGTCCATATGATTCTATTTCTATTCTACCCAATATTAATCTTTACCAAATTGGATATAATAATATAAAATCTTCATTCTTGGGAATAAGATGAGATAATGTCTTATTCGATTCCCTTTTCAAGATATATAATTTTATTAACACAACCCATGTTTTTTTACTTATTAATTATTTTATAAATTATGTATTTTATTAAAAAAAATCAACTCATTGTATTTTCAATTAGGCTACGTTTTCGAATATTTTAAAACTTTTAAACTCTTACATTAATTATTTTAAAAATATTTTTCATATATTAAATTAAGTTTTATCCCTTTTAAAAGCAACTTAATCTTTTATTATATTTTCTCTGTTCATTTAAAATTTAAAATTTTTTATTAATTATAAATATTTTCTTAGTTTTAAAAATTTTAGACGACTTAAATATATATATATATATATATATATATATATATATATGTCAAATATTTTTTATTAACTTACTTTTTAAACTCAACTGAAATTTAAAAATATACTCGATTGTTGGGTACAATGTTTATTTCATGCTGTCACAAGATGCCTTCCATTACTAATTTAATGGCAAACAACCCACCCGTGAGATGCAATGAAGTAGACAAGACACCAGACAAAACCAGAGTTGTTCAGGACTGTCTTGAATCAAGAAGACAACAATAATGTCACCTCACGATAAAAACGTACAAACTTCTATACTTTGTAACATTCCTCTTTCTTTTTTCGGTAGTAATTTATTTTACTTTATTGATTGTCCCTGTATAGTCTCCTGCATGAATTATTATATTTAAATATTCTTAAAATTAGTTGGGTAAAAATAAATAAAAACTGAAAATTAATGAGACAAGCATTTTTTTTATTAGGATTGAAAAAGATGAAAAACATAACTTTCAAATATTAATTAATTAGGTGAAAATAATTAGATAAAAAGAGAAATTAATTTTTAAAAAAAAATTCAAATTATTGACAAACTTAATGTCACTGACTTTCACAAAGAATCTAAACTACTGAAAAAAGAATCTTAAATATAGAAACAAAGGTATCACTAGTTTTTTTTATCAGGGTTTTTATTAATCAGGAAAGTATCATAATTTGGTATGACTAGAATGAGTTAATGTTAATCATAAGATATTTCGTGAAAATAAAACCTCATTTGTAATTTTTAAGAACCAAATAGGATGTAACAAAAACATTATAGGTTAAGATCAGGGAACAAAAAGAGGGCTAAACAATTAACAATGTGACATGGTTAACAAGTCACCTCTTCTTCATTCAGTGATAACTGTAGAGCATGTTCTGCCTCTTTCAAGAATAACCTTGTCAGCTGCTTTTGGCCACGCCGATACACTATAGCAGACCACTTGTTTCTACTCATCAACTTTGCTTCCTCAGAGTCATTTGTCTTTGTGCTGAAATTTTGGAGAAAAGAACAAGATCTATTAGAAAAACAACAATATGAAGAAGAAAATTATATCAAAGGAGTGTTTAGATAAACAGTAGAATAAATGCTTATTATACAAGTATTTATGTATAAATTGCTTATAATCAAGAAGGAATTATGGTTAAACTGTTTTCATATAAGTTGTAAGTTACTTCTTAAGTTATTCTGAATAACTTACTGAAATAAACTGAAAGCAATTTATGGGTATGTTGTTATTTTCGTTAAGTTCTCTTAAACACTTAACACAAGTGGGGAATGAATTCTCTCAATTGGGATTTTTACTCAGATCCCTCTCTGGTGAAAATTCCCACCACGAGAGCCCGGTGTCCCTTTTTTATTATTTTAATTCTCTCTCATGTCATTGAATGGAAATGTCACATGTAAGGACCCAAAATAAATTCTTCCAAACATACCCTAAGTGATAACTCCAAGATTTATTTGGTTCGAGACATGATTTTAGACACCCTGAAAATGCAGGGCTCATTATTTCAACCATTTCAATACATAGAGTTTGTTCACATACATGCTTTCAAGAAATTTTTTACCAAAAATAAAGAGTTTTTTTCAATTAAAAAATAAGTTTATATTTAAACAGACTCTTAAAATGAAAAGGTGGTGATACAATGTTAGGATCATAAAAAGTGACCCATGCATAGTGAGGATATCATATTTGTAATAATTAAGTTGCAAGAGTAAAAATAAGGGAGAAAATAAATTCTAGATAAATAACTAATTCATACTCAAAAATACCATACTTGTATCTAAACAAAAAAGTTAAAAATATATAATTTCAATGGAAGAATACATGCATCCATTCTTGTAGTTATTTGATTCAGGAAGCAAGATTTAGATATGTCCACACAATTCGTAAATCAAGTTACACATGGAGCCTTGAAACAAAGAAAAGGCTTTTCAGCAATTTCATAAGATAACTACTAAAAAAATGAAACACCAATTAAGCCACTGACAGCATCCAGAGAATCTCACAAGAGCATATTCAATACCTTTTTATAACAATAAAGTAGAGCTTTCATGTAACCTCTTACTAATTAAATATTTTAGGTAATTGTTATGGTATCCATAACGTTACGGTAACCAAGGTGACTTATCAAATTTTGTCAGTTCACTTGGTTGATAGTTTATATTTTAGTTTTAGTATGATCTTTGGAAATTCGAAAAATACAATTATGAAGAAATAAATGATCGCCGACAATTCAGGTAAAACAAGGTATATGAATACTATAATATAATCAAATATACTAGTTTCTAGTTTCTACCTTATAGTGCTCATGCATTGTTTGCTATCTTCCTGGCTATCAATAATTAGGGCTTTCTTGAGCAAATCAATGTCACCTTCCTCTGTTCCAGAACTCTCTTCGAGATCCATCATCCTTGAATGCAGTGAAATCAGTAAGGCATTGCACGTAAGATATATCAATGTTGATGTTCTAGCATGTCCTTATTAAAGGAAACATTGAATATATGAGATTCAAACATTATTTGCAGAAATCAAGTTGCAATCATAAGCATGCAGATTAGGAGTATGGTAAAAAATATTTCAGTTTATAATTAACATAATCCTATCAGCAGTTATGGTTACGTAAATCATGGCACTCACTTCACACGAAGAAGATCAACAAGAACTTGTAAAGCTCCAGAATCACCGCAGACCTCCCATATTGCTGATTGGACATCTGTATCTGATAGTTGTCTCTCCCTTTCAGGTCCAGCAAGCTTTATAGAAAGCATGAACATAAACAATTCAAATTAAAAAAATGTTTACTACTTATCTTCTGGGTTCTAAACTTCTTGCTAAATGTAATACATAAATTGACCTCATTATCTCAGCTAACAATCAAAGGAAAAAGGTCGGAATGACATGTAATTGACCTTTAATTCACTAGTACCAATCGTGGTTGTATAATTAAATGGATTCCAAAATAAATGAAATTTATTAATGCATTAATGACGTTATGTTCAAAATTATGAAACATGCTTGGCCTTGAAAATGAATTGCATTACAATGGATTGGTTCAGTAATTGAATATTGTCACCATAGCACTGTTATAACGACACATGTTCAGCATTGACCTGTAGTGTCAGTTGTTTTCTTTTATTTTTTATTACTGTTTTCCAAGTTATAAGCAATTTAACTAATCGAAGGGGTAGCAAATGTGGTAAATCTTGATAGAAAACTTATACCAAAGAAAAAGGAAATACAGCTTCTGGGACAAAGGCATGAGCTAATATAAAAGTCTTAACATTCCAATGAAAAGTAAAATGATGCATAGAAACTGAACCTCTTCCAGCATTGAGGAAACCTTGAAAAGCTCATCTTCTTGCATGGCTATAGTCCTCAAAGTGGTCAAAAATTTCTCAGGAAATACCAGCTTGTTTACATAAGATGGCATCTTGCGCTGACCACTCCAACTATAGTTGCAAACTTGGTCAACTTTGCCTTTGTTATTTTCTCCACTGTTTTGAGTGCCACGTGGAAAAAATCCATTATCCAGCAAAGTTTTGGGTAAAAGACATCTCATTTCAGCCTTCTGTAAACATAAAACAAAGAAAGTGTAATTACAGAAAAGGGGAAATTTTATAATAATAGGTAGTATAAAATTGGCCAAATACATCATACTCTACTTATTACAAAAAGGCAGAAAGATGAAGAAAAATTATTAGCACACCTGAACTTCAAGAAGCTGGCTTTTGGACTCTGAAAAGGAAATAGCATCAATTGCTTCAGCTGGATAGTGGACCTAGAGGACTCAACAACAATGATAAATTAGTAAGCCATGTCTATAATTGTAACAATCATGATCATGTGAATCACACAGCTCATGATACAGAATATAAATTAAAAGGTAGCAGCCATAAACAAAATTAAGTAGGTATATCGATGTATGAAATGCTATTAGTTACAAAACTAATTGAGTAACTATTGCAAGGAATTGATAAACAACAGGTAGATATTACTAAATATTTTCAAGCTGCGACGAAGCAATAAATAAAGAGGAGCCATAATTATAAAGATGAACACAACACAGCAAAGCTTCTTGAGAGTAGAAACTGAATTATGCTAACAAGAACAATTAAGAGACGGGGAGTAACATGTTAAGGAATAAAGAGGAATTTTACTACGGGTGCAAAAGGTCAAAGAATAAGCCATTACCATGAGATAATCGTCTGTGTTATCATCAATGACAAAACCATACAGATACAGAAGTTCCTGCACCAAGTGGAAAAATGTAAACCATTAGTACTTGAAATAAGCTTCAAAATAACTTATACTCCAACCTTTAAATGGACGATACTCCACTTCGTCTCTTGCATTTACTAAAATATATATATATATATATATATATATATATATGTGCATGCACATATTCATAACGGCACAACTGAACTCAAATAAGTTAAAGGGCCAAATCAATAGTGCAACACCTTGTTGCAGCTTATTGAAAAGACAACTATGTATCTAGTTCAATTAAACCTTTTAGAGACAAGTTGAATAAACTGCCAACAAGACATTGCACCAGCTTTGGCCACGTGAAAATATCACATTAAAAACCTTCTTTCACCCTTGCAGGCCTCTCTGCTTGCAGATTAAAAGTTTGATGCTTAAATATAATGGTAAAAAGAGAACAGAAAAGTAAAGTAGAACATAAAAAATAATATAGGAATATGGTTTCACTTTTTTGAACTATGGAACAATATAAAGTACCTCATTTCCCTTGTTTCCGTAACTAATGGAAATTTCTTGATCAATCTGCAAGGGACTTTGAGCAGCTTCACAATCAAGAAAACAATAGAATTAAAGGGGAATAGTTTCATGACATATCACATAAAGAGTCTACTTAAATGGAGAGCGGAATAAAACAAATAATTAAATAAGAAATTTGAAAGTAACTGCTACAACTGCAGAGGCACATACGAGGAGAACACTTGGTGTGTGTTTCGAAATATGGTGGACCACATTGAAAAATCATGGTAGCTTTAAAGCTACTCTCTAGTGTGATGAAAAATCATGGTGGGATACCATGGTTTTTGGGTTCTCAAAGTGAATCCAAACATTCTATTATTTGGATGTTAGCAAAGACACTGAAGAGTCACAAAAAAAGAATGTTACCAGAAATAAGATACATGGAGAAAGGAACTCCTGTTGTTAAACCAGTTCCATCAATTTCCCATGTTGCTATCGGCTTCAGATCTGATTGGTCATATAATAAGTAATCGCATAAGGCATTTGATGTATCTAGCATATATGACATGGAGATTACTCACCCTGGCATAAAGCCAGGAAAACATGTTCACGCATACAAATAGTTTGTTTATTTTTTCATTTATCAAAACAATAATAGATATTTGCGTAGCAAACTTTCCATCATGATCCGTTACTTTATATATCATACCCCTATCACTATGAAAAGAAAAAGGAACACCAATTATTTAGAAACCATTTGTCTAAATGATTATATTACATGCAAAGGAAAATATCCTTTTAACATCCAAGAAAGGCTAGATAAACAGTAATAGTGTGTTTAGATGCAAAATTTTAAAAATTCAAGAAATTTGAATTACTTTAATTTCATGTTTCATCATTCTTTAAATATTTTATTTGGACAAATCAATTCAAATTTTTTAAATTTTAAATTTGTAGTTTGGATAAGGCAATTTAATTTCCACCATAGATAAAACTAAATTCTTAAGATTAAATTTTATCAAACTAAATATTGGCCAATTTTTAATAATATTCAATAATTTTTATTAAATTTTAGATAATATTTAATAATTTAAAAAAATAATTTTGAATAGTCAATAATTAAAAAAATTATTGATATTTTTTTATATCCACTTTGAAAGAGAGGAGAGGGTGGTAGAAGAAAAAAGAGAGAGAAGAATTTTAAATTCTTACTTTTCTGAGATAATTTGAAATTCCACATCTTATATAGGGTAATTCATTTATTTGAAGAATTTCAAATTTCTTGAGATGAAATGTTTTGTTTGGATGATGAATTTACAAAGAATTTGAAATCCAAGCATTCGTAAAATCCCTTAAAATAGTAGAATTTCAAATTCTCCCAAAATAGGAGAATTTGAAATTTCTCATATTTATTTTTCTTATTTCACCTATATATTTTATCTTATCTCTTCATTCTTTTAATTATTAGATATTCAAAAATATTTTTAAAATTATTAACTATTATCTTATATTAATTTTTAAAATTATTAAATATTATCTAATATTAATTTTTAAAATTACTAAATATTTAAAAATGGATTAATATTTATTTTTATAAAATTTAATTTAAAAATCTCAACATATAAATATATTTTTAAAATCAATTTTACTATGATGGAATCAAATTATGATATTCAACCTAACAATTTAAAATTTAATAAATCTGAATTGACTAATCCAAACAAAATATTTTAAGAATGATAGAAATTGAAATCAAAGTAATTCAAATACCAAGAATTTAAAATTCCTTGAATTTATAAAATTTTTCATCCAAACACACTATTAAGGAATTTCACAAATGCTTAAATTTAAAATGCTCTGTAAATTCTCCATCCAAATAAAATATTTTACACCAAAGCATTTGAAATTCTTCAAAAAATTGAATTACTCCATTAAAATCTCTCATCCAAAGAAGGCTTTGTATTATAGCTGGAATATATTAGAGGTTATATACATCCTGTAATGAAATTTGCAGAAATTTATCAATATGTATTACATCCTCCCGCACAACAGTCCTTTGGGCATGAAGAGTAGATAAAGCCTATGGCCATTATCATCACTTCATAATTTGCACCAAAATTTATCACAATTGAGGCAGCAAGGATTGATATCGAAGCTGTTTCATCGTAGAGGCTTTGATATCATGTCAAGAAATTAATTGATCAAAATATCAGGGATTCAAGCAACAATTTACCATGGTTGCAAAAATCAATGCCAGGGACAAGACCCTCTACCCACATAGTGTCTTCTATCATTGTGTTACATGCCGCTTCCTTGGTCAGATTGTCAGATTTTTTAACCTGGCTTCCTGTAATAAACTTTCCTATTAAAATACCATTTTTAAATCTCAAATTCAGAGAAATACTAAATGCTGACCTTCTGATTGGACACAAAACAGAAGAGAGAATTGTTAAAAGGAAATTAGTGAAGAGAGAAAAAAAAAAAAAAAAAGACGGACTCACTGTTTTCATCAGCTTCTGGAATGCAACTGACATGAGCATCTTGAAATTCTGGAAATACATAAGAACGAGGCATTGGAATGTTCAAAGCACGACTCCAAAATACTGAATTTGCCCTAGCAAGAAGGCAAGTCTACTATCAACCTCCAAGGATTTAGTTAAAGTGGCAAAAATTCACTAGAAGTACATTACATACCAAAGGAAATCTTCAAAGCTCACCTCACTGAAAAGTCAGACAGAAGAGAAGCAATGTAAATGTATGTTTAACATTTAGCTAGCGAGTAACAAATGGCTGTTTGATAACAAATCTAGAAAATTTCAATTCATCCTTTCGAAGATAGTTGAGCAGGTATATATTGATAGCATTTTTTAATGCAGAATTAGTAAATAGTAATATTTACTGCTAATAATAGATATGGGGTAAATAGAAAGGGCAGTGTACAGGTGTAAATGGCATTGTATAGAAAGCCTTATAAATCAATCAAATCCTATATTCTTGTACTTTAAAGTGGCACAGTATGATCAAAAGCGAAGACAATATCTTGAAACCTACATATTTTTTTGGCAACCTGAAAAGGACTATATCCTAGCACATCAATGAATAGATGACTTACATCTGAATGAAATATCTGGAATATAACTTACTATGAAAAGCAGTTGCACACTTAACACATTATAGAACATCCACATTTAAATCTTAGGAGGCGTTTGGTAGAAGTAAAACTTTTTCATGCCCGGAAATCATGATTCCTGAGAATCATAATTCCTAGAAATGATTAAAATGTGTTTGGTTGGTCATAAATGTTTCTGGGAATATTTATATATGTTACTTAGGAATCAATTATTTTTACTACATTAAATAGGAAAATAAAGGTAACATGACATTTTACTGGAGCTAAACTTTCCATTTAACTCATGAATTGTAGATTCCCACCTACTCCCATGGGAACAATTTCATGAAAAACATAGGTAAAAACCATTCCCAGGAAACAATGTTTAAATCAATAACCCAAATGTAGGAAACTAACTTTCCCGACTTCAGATTCCTAGGAAAGTAAAAAAGAATCCTTGTACCAAACACCTCCTTCATGCCATAATGGTTTTCATATAAGGTGAAATAGCAAAGTAATGAACTAGTAACTGCTAAATTATATTTTCACAAGTGTATGAGACTTGATCCCAAAACCAAAATAACATCATTGGCATATATCCTACATTAATTAGCTCAAAATACAAGACATCAAAATTTCCAGAGGAATCAAACTATGTCAATTATGAATTAACTACTTCAAAACAAAAAAATAATCAATAAAATACAATTTTACCCAACACATACATCTCTGAATTTCCATCAAGAGTCAAAAGATTCTTCACTATATCCTTCACTTTAGTTTCATACAAAGAAAGCAGGCTTTTCTTCTGCAAGATAAGACAAAGACAGTTATCAAATATACTGTTAAATAAGGTGACCAGAAGTTAATGCCAGAGTTGACTTTTGACACGTGGTTCTATCTCAAACACTATAAAACAAACTAAGCATGTTCACCAGGAAGGTCAAATCAGCCAAAAATAAAATCTCAAATTCTCGATATCCATTAAGAGATAACATTAGAAAAGTAGGTTTGACTTTTAGGTGATTTTCATATTGTGTAGAGTGCATGCTCCTCCAATGGCATTTGAGTATTTACCAAAAAAACAACACTGTAGACAACTAATTCAACTTGATGATTACTACTCAAAAAACATAGACGAGAACGTCAAAATTGAGCTGTCACACGAACAGATGAACAACATTTTGAAATTATGGGAAACGAGAAATGTTGGCAACACACTCTCTGTCACACTCTTTTAAACACATGCTCTCTCATTGGTTGAAATTTATTGGAAAACCCAAAAATTTGGTGGGTCTCACATCCTATTTAATGATTCTCTCGTGATTTTGTAATTTTCAATAAATTTTAACCAATAAAAATGAGTATTAAGAAGAATGTGTTACAGAGTGTGTTGTTAACACTTAACACTCCTCTTATGCGAAACACATACACATAAGCCAAGATAGAGATAACTAGTCTTGTTTTTTCATCATGTTGTCTTAAAATTGGCAAGAAAAGCACACTTGCAATTGAACTGGTTAATGGTATCAAAAAATGACTTAAATGAGTCACATGATAAATTACCTGCAATTCAGTTGCACGATATAATGTTGTTCCTCTTAGCTCTTGAAGTTCATCATCAGTAAACCAAAGTGGATTCCCAAAAGTGGTTGGAAGCATATCAAAGTACCTGATTTAGTTTTAACCACTCCACAAGTGAAACTCAACACAATCTGAAATCTGAATCCCAAAGTAAAACACAATTATCCATACATACGGCTTCCATAGAGAATTCTTACGCAACCGCTCCACAGTCAGTAACAGCATCATTAGTAACCTGTCGTCAACATTTCCTTCTTCAAACATTGCCCTACATGCTGGTCCTAGAAGAGGATCTTGCAACACTCTCATTGGAGTAATTGCTAAATCTAGGGGAACAACCAACAAAACCCCTGCTTTTCAAAGAAAACAAAATCACTTTCTCTCTTTTCAGTGGTCAAGGCACATAACTATAAACAGTCAGATATCACTTAGCATTAAAAAAAAAAACTTTCTGCTCCTGAAGATGGCCAATTTTTTAGATTCAAAGGCAATACCGGCATTTTCAATTTTCAATTTTACAGGACTACAACAAAAGATCATTAACAAAAATTTCCAAACAATAACAATGCCAATTATACACTAACAAGTAACAACAGTAACAAGCAATAAAACCAAATCCTTCTCTCAACTCAATCCATGTTGATATTACCATCAGAAACATCTTTATCAGAAAAGATGCCAAACCCTCGTTTGGAATCACACCACTTGATTTTGCAACCTCGTAGCTCAACCCCATTTGCCTGATTTCAAGACCAAAACAAAATTCAAAACTTAGAAAAAAGACACCATGGAATATTCACCGTAAAAACTTAAAATTGTTGCCCTTTGACCATGAATTCTTAGGAATGTTAACGAACCTGTAGCCACTGCATGAAAGTTTCGAGCTTTGCTTCTTCCGGGCTGGCCATAGCTACTACCTCAATTTTTGGTTTGCGCCTACTTTGATAGCAGAGGGAAAAGGTTTAGAAGGGTTTTTTTTTATGGTAATAAAAGGTTTACAGGGTTTAATTAAGTACAAAATAATTTATAGTACTTCTATACTAATATACTAGTAATAAATACAATATCAATTTTTTGTGTTACAACTTTTTATTTTAATTTTATTATAACTTTATCAAGGATACAAAATTAATTTTAAATTTTATAGCTAAATAATTATATAAGAATATTTGGTGAATCATTTTTAAAAAAATTAAGGATGTAAATGAACCTAGTAATTTAAATAGAGTTGTCTCTCAATTTTTGTGAGAGAATAAAAATTGTCACTATATCATCAATTAATCTATGGCAATATTTTTTTTTGTTTTTTTTTACACATTATTTTTTGGTTTAATTTCTCTGCACGGTTGTTAGTAAAGAAAAAAAAAAGTTATGTTATCAATTAATTAAAAAATATTATTAAAATGACTTTCATAAATAATTATTTGTGATTAAATGATAATGTAAAAGTCTTACATTGCATATTGCGTAGATTATATACTGAATTTTCAGTTTTTGTTAGGGGTGTGGATAAAATCGAGACCCGAACCGAACTTGAAAAATTTGATAAAAAAATATTATTTTTAGGTGAATTCGGGCGAGTTTTACGGGTAAATCGGGTTAAAATTTTGATTTATACGGGTTATATTAGGCGGATTCGGTTTTAAATTTTTAAACCCGCTAAAAACCGAACCCAATCGAAAATGAGATAAATTTATATTTTTATTACTTTTGTATAATTAAACAACAATGCTCCAAATTTAAAAATCTTTATTTCAAGTATAATATAGTTATCAATTTGTAATTTTCTTTTTCTTTTTCTCAAACCTAGATAATCAATTTCACAACACACTAGTCTATTTTTAGATTTTTCTTTTTGTTTCTTTCTTTATCTTTCTTTTTCATCTTCCTATCTCTATTTTGAGTACAACTTGTGCGACAGTGGTTTCTTATAGATTTTGTAATCTAACTTTAGATTTCTTTTGCATGTAACAACTATGAATTTTGTTATCTTTTGTCTTTGCTTCTTTAGTTTGTAAATGTTTCATCTATGAATCTACTTACATCATCTATTGTTACCTTCATTCTATTTTTGTACACTGTTTTAAAAATATTTTCTTACCGTTTTAAGCTTCACCTTCGTTAAAATAACTTGGTCCACAAAAAATCTCAAACTCGATTGTACCCACCGCCCAAATCCGAATCTGTTGCAACCCGAACCGCCTCAAATCGAAAGCTCAGTCAGTCGGATATGGGTCACATTTTTTCAAAGTCGATTTATAATGGGTTGAACATTTTTCATCCGAACCCGCCCGTTGCCCACCCTAATTTTTGTCCAAAACCAACTTCTAGAAATTGAAAATCTTATTATTTAATTATAGATAAAATAATTTATTTGGTTCTTATACTTGTATTACATTTTTGTTTTGATGTATATTTAGAAATTACATATTTTGGTCTCTAAATATGTGTTTTTAATTACATTTTAGTTTATTTCATTGAGTCTCATGCAATGTCGTAAAATAATTCATGCCATGGCTATGAAAAGTACTATCCTTCATTTGATCAAAGTGGTCTTTAAACTTAAAATAAATAAATAAATAATAATAATAATAATAACTTTTTTTCTAGAATGTGTTTCATCAAGTGTTTTAAGTAGACAAAACTAGGTGCATTCATCCCTCTTGGAGTGCTTCATTCCTTCGGTGTTGGTAATCTCATTTTGTGTCCAAGGTGGTGGTAGATGAAGACAAGTATCTCGTTTTAAGTATTTTGTTTTTAGGTAAAATAGTCAATATTTAAAAATGTTCTTTTTTTAACCACGATAGTCACTTGTTGAAGATATTAACAAAATGACATGGTCATTGGTTATCGTACATAAGAAAAGATAAAATATAACTACTAAATATGATATAGATGAGCGGTCATTGGAAGAGATAATTAAGATACTTAAAAATTTGGGGATGTAAAAAATGTGTTTATAATGTTTACCGTAAACATAAATTAGACTTAAAGAAATAGTTGTTAAAGTGTGGATTGGTAAATGAACAATGGAATTTGCGATGATTATTACAAACATTTGTATTACAAAAGTTAGTGCAAATGTTGTGCTTGCAACAAACATGGGAGTTATTTTGATTGTGAAATATTTGAAGATGATGGTTAAGAAGTTAGTTGTTGCGGTTAATTACATATCGAAAGAGTTAATGGGCAAGTTCATCAACTTAGCGAAAGTCTTATGAAATGTAGTTATTGGCAAGGTTATGTGTGAGTTGGAAGAACAATTCATAGGTCAATATTATATTTTTTTCCAAGTAAGTCAATTTTTGGAGACAAAAATTTTTGTCGTTAGAGAAAATTGCAACATTGTGCATTTTTTTATTAATATTGTTGATTTTATTAATTTAAATATTATTGTGATTAGTTGATTAGTTGTTATGAAACTTTGAGGATTTATGAATCTTAATAAGTTTTGTTGTTTATGAGTTAATTTAAGTATATGTCAAGGTTGACCGGTTAAAAGAAGATATATAAGGTTTTTCTTAAAACGTGGACTTCATAAGTTTATTTCTTTGGAAAATTTATAGAGAAGTTAGAAAGAAAAGCTTTGGAACTCGAAGAGAATCATCTTCTTTTTCGCCTTTACAAAATCCCTCCACCCTTCTCTTGAGAGTAAAATTGTTGTTGTTGGAGATTCAACCCTCCTAGAGTTGAGAATTAGAGAACTTAGAGCAAGTGTACAAAGTTAATCAAGAGGCTTTATTTTCTTCCTTCCCTTGATTCTAGTGGATTTAGAGATAAGGGGAGCTTTCTAAGTTGTTGGATTGTTATTGTTGTTTCTATCCCTAGAATCATCATTTTATAATTAAAATGTTGAATTGAGATAGGATTGAAAGTTAAGTTTGTTGAGTTTTGGGGTTGTTTTGTTCTTATGAGAAGGAACTTAATGTTCGAAGAGATTGTTGGCTATGTGTTGAAATTTGTTGCATATATGAGTTGTGTATGATATGTAGTTGTGAATTCTGGTGTTACATGTTGATAAGTGCTAGAATTTAATGAATTTTATCTTTTATTAGGCACTATTTTTATTAATTATATATATTTTCATTATATATTTGCCCCTTGTGTTGATAATTTAAGTATGAGCATCAAGATAAGAGAAGGAAGAATGATAATATCAATTTTCTCTCTAGTTTGCCGAAAAAATTTCTAAGTTTCATTACTCAAGCCTTGAGCCACTGCTGCAATTGTGGGTTTATGAAGCTTAAACAAATTCTTGGCGCCATGGCTCCATATCAAGACTGTAATGGTGAAGCAACAGAAGCTCAACAGATTCTGGGTGCCATATCACCTAGCCAAAGCTTGAGTTGTGGAAGTTTGAAGTTGATTGGGAAATAGGGCATTTCACCATTGCAACAATGAATCAACGCTCAAGTTGTGGAGCTTGCTTCAATCTAAAATATTCTCCAATGTTGCAATCCACCGTAGCAATGGGAGAAAATTCAGATTTTCCTTTATTTTGAAGATCATATAAATACCTTTTGGGAACAATAGAAACAAGAGGAGAACATGGGAGGAGAGGTGAGAAAGAGAGAGAAAATATGACATAAAGGAGATTTGAAGAACAAGATTGCTTGGAAACAAGGATCATTAATTATTTTTCTCCTCTTCTAATCTATGGGTTGTATATTGGCATTCTCTTTGACTATGCATAACTAAACTCTCCTAGTTGGGATTGAGTTTATTTGTCAATCTTGATGTAAACTCTTTCAAGTTTATATATGTAAAATTCAGTTATTTAAGGTGGTGCTTGATTTTATGCTTAATGCTTCTTTTGTATGAGTTTGATTTCAAATATAGTTGGAAAACATATTTGTGATATGAATTGAATCTAAGCGCTTGATGATTATTTGATGTTTAGGAATAGCTTCAAATTCATCAATCAACAAATCCATGAACTTAATGTAAGAACATTAAATTAATACATTGAGGGATCATGTGTTGATTTAAGGTTCTTAGTGTTTCAAGTTTGAGGAATCAATTTGAATGAATATTTGTGGATTGGAACCATAAATGTGTGAATAAATTCTTATAAGAAAGAGTAATGTCAAGTTTTATAAAATGAATATCAATCCCAACATCTTTGAAATATGAATTTCTTCTCAATCCTACTATTTATGTTAGTTGTAACTCATTTTAAGTATAAGGAATCACAATACTTAATCCTTGTATCAAATTCGTTTTACAAGTTGATAATAGCCTATTCACATTTTAATTGTCTACAAATCTTTGAAGAAGATATTTGATCTATACTACTTTTGACTCAGTACACTTGTTGAATCAGAATATTAAGACATGTTAGGGAATTTTTTAGTTTTAGTTGGATTAAGCCAAAATGTGAATCTGCCAAGTATAGAATTCACCACACCCTGGGTGTAACTTCAAGGCATTGGGTGTGATAAAGGCTAGGGGCTTTATACCTCATTAAGGCAGTGCGCAAGATTGGTAGTGTCAAACATGAGTTAGAGGAGAGTTCTCTAACTTAGTCTTGTCGAGCTTGAGGGGTGTCAGAGGCGTACGCCCTTAGAGCTATCTAATTTAGTAACTTTAAGCCCTAGTTGAGTGGCGTTAGACGTGATCAAAGTAGTAGTTCTCTATTTGGACAACGTCAGGAGCCAATATTGTGTTGTCAATCATGAGTCAAGCAAAGACTTTTTGCCTGAATGAGGTCAAACGTGAGTTTGGCCATGTTAGGCATGATTAACACATGGACTCTCTACCTCATTTATGTCGAACGTTGGTAGTTTAGCATCAAGCATGGGCAAGTTAGAGGTTCCCTACCTTAATAACACCAGGCATTGGGAGAGTGGCATCGGGCATGAGTTGTTGAACGAAAAATGATTGATAATTTGGCTAAGTTTTGAACATGTATGTGATAAGTTGAAATTACTCAAATGTTGCATGTTGTTGTATGATTCTAGTTCATTAAACATTGATCTAGGATGATGGTTGTTGACATTTAAGTTGTTTAAAGTTGCAAGTTGAGAAGAGTTGAAAATGTAGTAATGTTGCATGATGTGTAGTGTTGAAATTAGTGGTATTAAGTATGTTTAAGGCATGGTGTTGAGTTGTGTTGATTGTCCTAAAACCAGAGGAGAGTAGTTGTTTTGAAAAAAATATGAATATTCCTTATGGAAGACCATCCTTGAAACTTCATGTGGGACCCATCACTAGGTCTATGGCTAGGAGATTGGAAGATGATATGGGAGCTAACACCCCTAGAGACATGTTTCTTATAACTAAAGAATATTGATCATTCTCATAAGTCTTGTTAGCATAGAATTTATTTTTATTCCTATTTTTTCCTTGTCTTTAATTTTCCCATTTTTTACCCTTGCATTTTGGGTATCTTAGACATAGGATTTATTTTACTTGTATTTCTTATTTTACCCTTGTATTTTGGGGTATCTTAGTCATATGATTTATTTTCACTTGTATTTCCCATTTTACCTTTGTATTATGGGGTGCCTTAGATTATAGGATTTTATTTTTGGACTAGGGTATTTTATTAAGGTGAGAAAATAGGCCTAGATGTAATTTTTGGTGGCATTGGATTTGTTTTTGGACTTGGCAAGGCTTAGGCCCAAGTGGAGGACACCTAAGTTGCATAGTCTTATCATGCACCTAGATGTAGCTTAACCAAACTCAAAGATTCCATCCTTGACCACCAAGTAGCATCTAGGGTTAATTTAGGTTTCATTTGAAGTGCATTTGGCTTGCATTTTTCAGCCAAGCACTCTCAAATGCAACTCTAAATGCTTCCTCCCTTCTATAAATACCCTAGGCTATGCAACTTGTAATCACTTTGAAATTTATGATATTGAGAGTGCCTTTGAGCCTTAATATCCTTCCTTAGTCACCTTGGTCAATCCGGCCACCTCTTTTCCTCATTTTTACCGTGAGTGTTCTCACCTTTAGGAGTGACCTTCATCCATCAATGAAGTGAGCCAAAAAAACCCTAGAGTATCATTCTATCATTTCATCAAACACCTAGCCTCCATAAATACCATTCGATCATCTCCATCACCAAGGCTAGAAACCTTGAGTTCCATGATCTAAAGAGTTCGATTTTTCCCTCTTTGATGCAAGTGCGAATATGGTGTTGTAGTGCTCTACAAGACTAGTTGTTTAAAAACCCTTAATAAAAAGTTGACTTTTGAAGTATAGTGTTAAGTCTTCTCTAGTCCTTAGTTGATATAGTATGAGTCAATCAAGCTATACTAATTATAAGCAACTAAATGTAGATCTATATGGGAGTAAGGTCGAGTCATACATGTATGAAGTAATCAAACAGAGTAAGGTACAAGGTCGAGAGTCAAAATCCCTAGTTAAGTACTGAAAGGGGCGTAGTATTTAGAAGATAATCGATGAACTAATTTCATAATAGGTCAAAGTTGTGGTAGGTTCACACATAAACTATCCTAGCCTTGACAAGAATATTGAACTTTCCAAGTTTAAGTGGCGAAATTCAAGAAACTATGTTATGTTGTAAATATTCATCCAAATTTGTTGTTCATCTAGAAATCCCAAAAGGATCGCATTATTAAGTTGGTCTGGTAGGGTCAAGTCACTTAAATTGTTCACCTTTATTGTAAGAGATATCTTAATTAAAATACGTGACAACGCATTATGTTGTTGTGTTGATGAATGGTAAAGTTTAAATCTATTAATATGTGGAAATATTGTTTAAGTTGTTGAGTTAGTTAAGTCAAACACATGAATGTGTTGTATGTTGTAAATTACATGTTGATGTTGGTAGTATAATTGTATTTTACCTATATACTTGTTATGTTGTTTTCTATAAGTTCACCATTGCATGTTTTCTTATGGCTGAACTGTGATAATTACACTTGTTATGAGAGCATGACAATATTAGGCAGGAGGTTGAGCCAATTTTAGGAGGCATACTAGAGAATGATGATGTTGTTTGAGCTACTCTGATATAATTATTTTTTTTTGTAGTTGTTACTTGATCGACAACTATGATTTTATGCTTTTAGTTTGAATTTTGTTGTAGTTATATATATATATATATATATATATATATATATATATATATATATGTGTATATAAACTTCATCAACGGGTAACATAAATGTAAGTCCCTCTCCCTCATTAGGACTACAACTACAAGCTATACATATATGTATATACGGTTATACTGGATAGAAGCATAAAACCTAGGTTGTTGGTCAAGCAACTACTAAGAACTAACTACATTAGAATAACTCAAGGAACAGTGTATATATATATATATATGTGTGTGTGTGTGTGTGTGTGTGTGTATAATATTTTTGCATGTATATATAGAAATTGCTTGCATTGTAATCTTAGTTAGTTTTTATGTTTTATATTGTCTTGGTTATTGAGTTGTAAAGTATAAGAATTTATCAAATCGTTACATTTAGATGTGTTTTTAACAGTTTTTCTATTGAAGACTATTTTTTTTTTCAACTAGTAGGAAAAAAGGTATTTCATGTGTATACTGTATTAAAAAGAAATAATTATTTCTATGAGCAATTATTGTAGCTTTAAATAGAATAATAAAAAAAATGAAAAAATGATACATGTAAAAATGAAAATCAAAAGTAATTATCATAAAAGGTAGGGATGACAATGTGATTTGACCCTATGAGTCAATCTGCCAACCCACTTGGTGGATTGGGTTAGACAAATAAACCCACCAACTTGCCCAACCCATCTTGCCCAACTTGTCAACTTAGTGGATTCAACTTGTCAACTTGGCGAGTTATCTTGTCAACACTTTTTTTCATTTTATTTTTTTTAAAGATAAATTTGGAATAGATTTATATTTGATCAATGTTTTTATTTTATAATTTACCTACTTTCAAGATACTTATGCTCATTATATATGAAATAGAAGTATATTGTTTTAGTCACATGTTTTTTTTACTAGTATATTTTCATATATAATATTTTTTTTTTTAATGTGTGTGTGAACCAACCCACATTTTTAACTGACTAACTTGCTAAAGTGGACAAACCCATCGACTCATTACTAAGTGAGATGAGTTACATTTTTAACCCAATTTCTTTGGTAGGTCAATCTATCCCACACTATTTTAGGTGAGTTAACTTATTTTGTCATTTTTAATAAGAAGTATTCCTAGGTAAAAAATTGTCTTTCTTTTTTACTAGGAGGACAAAAACACTCCATAAAAAAGAAAATAAATAAATATAAAATGATCCATTAAAAAAATGAAACTAAAATCAGTTATTAATGATATAGATAAAAAAAGCTTTGGAAAGAGCTTTTGACTTGTATTTAAATAGTTGACATGGTGGTAAATAATTTGTCTTATTTTTTATTAGTAGGATAAAGATACTCTATAAAAAAAATAAAATAAAGAAAAGAGTGATCCATTTGGAAACCAAAATTAATTATTAAATTAGATTTTTTTTAATAATAAGTATAAATAAATAAAAAAGAAAAAGAGATATTAAGAAGATGATTTTAAGAAGTTGTAAAAAAATAAAGAAAGAATACAATGGTCCATTTTAAAATTAAAATCAAAATCGGTTATTAAATTGAGTATCTATACTAATAGGATTTCTTCATTTCATATTCACTTTTATATTTTTCATTTAGCCTTTAATAACTACACATTTATACTAATCTATACTAATATATAAAGGGATACTCTTTTTAATAACTACCTTGGTCTCCACAATTTTTATTAAATTTAAGAACTTAAAACTAATAGATTAATGATAACACTAATTAGATTAATATACTTTTATTATTTAATTTTTATTTTTATTTTATTTTATATAAATTATTTTATTTTTTATTTATTTTTTAATAACTATTTTTTTATGAGTAATTTTTTATTTTTTTTAATACAATGTAGTTACGGAGTGTTTTTTTTTTTTCTAGTAACCTTTAATAGCCATAAAAACTATCAAATTTTTTCTGTTTTTATTATTTATTTACTTTTTTTTTAACGGAGGCATATATTGCTTTTTTCTTCTACTGCATATAAGGTAATTTGTCCAAATCTATTCGTCTCAGTTCCACTGATTTCCATCTCCACCCAATAAAGAAAAAGAAAAAAAAAAAGAAAAAAGAAAAAAAGCGTGATTGATCACGGTAACCATTCAACCCAACCGATGTGAACCCTTTTCTCTCTTTGTGCTGAGGAAACCAAACCATAATTCAGAATCGTGGTGAATTTTGTAGCAGAGAGACAGAGTGGCGGGTTAAATAAACAACACTGCCACTGCCACGGTTCCAAATCTCATTCATTGCCAACAATGCAAGTAAGCCACGTACTTTCAGATTGACGCAACATCATCATCATCATCATCATTCTCTTCTGTTATGTACACTCTAAAAGTTTCCCATAATTCTGCTCTCAGATCTGACTCACTCGCTGACCACGACAAAAGGTGATTATTTGATCTGATTCAATTCCGTCTTTTTTTGCTTTGCCCAGAAGCTGGTTGTTGGAATTTCCAAGGATGTAGGGCTCTGTGATTCATGGGTGGTTCTCATGTTTTGATTTTGATGGCTTTTGTTTCGTGGGATTATGACTTTGAAATTGATTTTATTGTTGTTGTTGTTGTTGTACTTTGTGATGTGATTGCCCGTGGGTGTTTGTTTGGGTTTGAATTTGTTAGTCATTACTCATTAACTTTAAAATTTGTTGAGGAATTGAAATGGAGATGGATTTGCTCCTGTTGCGGTGCGTGCCAATTGTGTGAGTTTTTATTTTTTCTTGATTTTGATGTGAGGAAGCTTAAAATTTATTGAAGGATTGAATGTGATTGTACTTTAGTCCACGCCAAATTTATGAGCTTTTATGTGGGGGCGTTGGATTTTGGCATTTATAATGCGGGGGCCTTCTTTTTGGTAGCTAACTACCCTAATTTCTGTGTGTTTTAGTATATGAAAGCCCCGGTTTAATTTTTCAAAATTGATAACAATTAAGAGTTTCTGGTTGGATACTAGTTGTACTGCTGTAATTTTATGATTGCAGTTAATCATTAGAATGTTAGGAGATGTGACCATATAGTCCATGCTGTATACACAAAAGTTAAGGACACCTACTTTGCAAGTTGCAACAGACAAAAGCCTTTGTTATGTTTCTGAACATAATTTAGCAGTTGAAGGTTAAGTACAGTGAATTGTGATATGATATAAATGGAGATTTCATTCCCATCTTGTGTTAATGTGTGCCAGGATTCGTGGGGTGAGCGGGTTACTCTTGGACAATGTCATGCATAGGTGCTAATGATCTATAAGCAAGAAGTTATTTAGCTTTCGAAGAAAATATAAAGCAATTTAGACTGAACTCTCTGAAAAGTGAAAACAATGTAGATGAAGAATTTTAGCAATGATTGTTCATTGTCATGTACAATAGAGCTTAGAGTGTTAAATGCTTGTGGTGGACTGTGGTGTGAAACTGAAATCCCCAAGTATTTTTTGAAGATGATAAGGCCATGCTTTTTTTCGTTTTTATTTGCTTAATAATGATCTCTTTGGGAGCCTTGATCGTATGGTCGGAGTTGTCATCAGGTGACGTGAAGGTCACACACAGGTTTGATTTGTGGCAAGACCTTTATTCCTGATGAAAAAGGACCCATGCAGTGGGCCTGACCCTTCCTTAAAATCCAGTAATAGTGGGAGCTTTATAGCACTAATCTGCGCTTTAGTAATGTCCTTTTCAATTTCATAGAAAAAGGGAAAAATTAATTCTGTTTAGCTACCCCTTTCATTGTCCCCAAGATGTTATTGTGCTTTCCTTTTATTCTTTCACATTCATTTTGATTAACTATTCTCATTTGTTCTGCAGAAGCACACCGATAGGTCCTATAATATAATAGCACTGACATAATGAAGAATATAATTTCACCTGTGCAAAGTGCTATGCCATCTCCCACTTTTCTTTGGAGGTTCAAGGTCTGTATATCTTACACAATTTGCATAAGTTCAGTGCTAGGTACCACTCTCTTCAGGGGGGTTTATTTTTATTATTTGTAGATAAACTAGAAGGCTTTGAGCTGGCTATCTTTTTAAATGCTTCTTGGGTTTAAAAGAAAGCCGAACAAAATGGTATATTGGTACTGTTCAGACTTCACAGAAGCACTCAAGAAAAATAAAAGAAGAAAGAAGTGGGAAAAGAAACCAAACACACCCCTTTATGACAGCTGTAATAATGACACTGATAGAAAGTTTCTTTGTAGTTATTTGGTCTTTGTTCATATTAAACCTGCTTGGATCTCTCAAAGTTCAGCCATATATGTTCTCTCATCCTCACTTTGCAATTTATTTATTATGCCTGTGCTCATAGATATATGCACACCTTTCATTATAATTTCTGATTGTGGAAAATTTGCTGCAGTATGTTTTGTCTGTAATTTTGTATCTTATTGCAATATGTGTTATTCTAATGTTCCTTTGTAATGTTAGGTGAGTTCAATTTCAATAATATATAAATAAATTCTCTTGCACAGACCGGAATTTTATGTTTGTGCAAGTGTCTGTCAATTTAATTGTATTCCTTTCATAATTGGATATCATTCTTTAATTTCTTTGATTTTTGCTCATACTGTATATGAACCTTTTCTATATATATATATATATATATATTTCATTTATTTTTTTCTTTTCCAGGTGACACT